TATCTCTTAATTTAACTTTTATAAATAAAAATAAAAAACTTTCCACCTTTTTAGAATAACTTAGACCACCTCCAACGGTGGTTTTTCAAATTGGTTTGCCAGCTTGGCATTGAAATTGTCAACAAAAAGTTATTCCAGCTGGTGAACCTTACAAACATAAGCAATGGTTCTTCACTTTTTTTTTTGATTAAAATAATCATTTAGCCGTGCAACGACTTTATTTTATTTTATTTTTTAACTTTTTTTATTTATTATAAATATAGGTTTGTTGGAAAAATTGTATACCAATCCTATTTTCTCTCACTTTTATTTACTCTTTAATTTCAAATTTCTCTCTCACAATTTCATCATTTTATTCATCACTTTTATTTTATGTTTAATTTGTATTTATATTAATTAAAATTTAAATATTTAAATTATAATTTTAAATAAAATAAATTTAATATAAATAATATATTTTAAGTAAAGTGGTGAGACCCAATATGGGTTCTTTGGAGTTGCACCATTGAAGTGAAAATTGAATGAGTTGCTTTAAAAGAGTGGGTCCAACAAAAAACCTAAAATTGGGTTGCACCATTGGAGGTGCTCTAAGTAGGATAACAAATATTTGGAAAGGTGAAACCATGCGCTAATACAATCTTCTCTTTTAGTTCACTAATGGAGATTACAACTTTTAGCTGCAGTAGAGCTGTGAACTTACATTTCCAAGTGTGAGACATTGGATCGAACTCTAGTGTGGTCGAAGTCTGTTCGCAAGTAATGCGTGTTGTAGTCGAAGTTTGTTCTAACATGCATGAGTAAATATTGCTAAGGTTGTTAGCATGAGTAAATATTGCTAAGGTTGTTAGCATGAGTAAATATTGCTAAGGTTGTTAGCATGAGTAAATATTGCTAGGGTTGTTAGCATGTGCTATTTTATTATAAATAGGATGCTAGTTTCTCAATCTTGGCATAAGGAAAAATAGGAAGATAAAATCCTAATTTCAAGGGAGAGAGGTTATTTTGTTATTCTTGTATACTTGTAATCTTGTTCTAAGAGAAAGGAAAGAATAGCAGTTTAATAACAAATTCTTGTTGTTCCTTGTTGTTTTACCTTGTTTTCTTTGTTAACCCTAACCCTTGTGAGTTTCTTGATCATTAAGAAACCGTTTATACTTTGTTTAAAGGTATCCGATTCACAACAAATTGGTGCGGTGAGCGTGGAGAAGATGCCTTCAACAAAGTATGAGATTGAAAAGTTCACCGGAGTGAACGACTTCGGTCTGTGGCGCTTGAAGATGAAAGCCCTATTGGTTCAGCAGGGTTGTTTGGAAGCGTTGAAGGGTGAGGCAGCCATGGACGCTGCGTTAACGGCAAAAGAAAAGACGGGCATGGTCGAGAAAGCCCACAGCGCAATATTATTGAGCCTTGGTGATAAGGTTCTTCGACAGGTATCAAAGGAGACTACAGCATCGGGATTATGGGTGAAACTTGAAAGTTTGTACATGACCAAATCTCTGGTGAATCGACTATACCTGAAGCAAGCTTTATATTCATTCAAGATGAGTGAAGACAAAGTGTTGGCTGAGCAGTTGGATATGTTCAACAAGCTGATTCTTGATCTTGAAAATATTGATGTGAAGATCGATGATGAAGATCAAGCACTATTGCTGCTGTGTGCTTTGCCCAGAACACATGCTCACTTCAAAGAAACTCTCTTGTATGGAAGGGAGTCCCTGACCTTTGAAGAAGTTCAATCAGCCTTGTATTCTAAGGACTTGAACGAACGAAAGGAGCATAAACCTTTGACGGTGGGCGAAGGTTTGGCCGTTAAGGGAAAATTCTTGCGAAAGGATGGTAAGTTCGACAAGAAAAAAGGTAAAAGTCAACAGAAGTCTTATAGTGGCGAAACATCTAGTATTCGATGTTACCACTGTAAGAAGGAGGGTCACATAAGAAAGTTGTGCCCTGAACGCCTGAAAGATCATGGAGGTAATGGCAATGCAGCCATTGTTCAAGATGACTTTGACTCATCTGATGTTCTTGTGGTTTCAAGTGGCGACTCGAGGAAAGAGTGGATTATGGATTCAGGTTGCACTTGGCACATGTCTCCAAACAGAGAATTGTTCGAGGAGCTATGTGATCAAGATGGTGGATCTGTGCTGTTAGGAAACAACAAATCTTGCAAAATTGCAGGTATTGGATCTGTGAGATTCAAGCTCCATGATGAGTCAATAAGGTTATTGACTGAAGTCAGGTACGTACCTGACTTGAAGAGAAATTTGATTTCTCTTGGTGAATTCGACAGAAAAGGATATGTTTTTCAAGGAGAGAAAAGTATCCTAAGAGTCATGAAGGGGTCGAAGGAAGTCTTGAGAGGCGTGAAGAAACAAGGCTTGTATACCCTTGAGGCTGAGGTTGTAAGTGGTTCGACAAATGTTGCATCCACGAAATCTATGTCGAAGACAGAATTATGGCACATGAGATTGGGCCATGTCAGCGAAAGAGGCCTGGTCGAATTGGGGAAGCAGAACCTGCTAGGAGGTGACAAAGTCGAAAAGTTTGAATTTTGTGAATCTTGTGTATTTGGTAAATCCTGTAGGGCGAAGTTTAACAAAGGCAAGCAAAGAACACATGGATCTCTGGATTACATTCATGCTGATCTTTGGGGGCCTGCAAGGAATCCTTCACACTCAGGTGCAAGGTATTTTCTATCCATCGTTGATGACTATTCCAGAAAACTATGGGTATTCATTCAGAAGACGAAGGATGAAACTTTTGAGAATTTCAAAAGTTGGAAGATTCTAGTCGAAACTCAGACTGGCAGAAAGGTTAAGAGGTTTAGAACCGACAATGGCCTTGAATTCTGCAACGAAGCTTTCGACAATTACTGTGTTAGGTCTGGGATTGCAAGGCATAAGACTGTAGCAGGTACTCCTCAACAAAATGGCTTAGCTGAGAGATTCAATCGAATAATCCTTGAAAGGGTTAGATGCATGTTGGTTAGTGCTGGATTGAAGAAGGTGTTTTGGGCGGAAGCTGTTTCGACAGCAGCTTACCTGATAAATAGATGTCCCTCGACTGCCTTGGGAATGAAGACACCTGAAGAAGTTTGGTCGGGACATCCACCTAGTCTCGACAGACTGAGAGTATTTGGCTGTGTGGCCTATGCTCATGTTAGGCAAGACAAGGTCGAACCTAGAGCTCTGAAATGCATGTTCATGGGATACCCTGAAGGAGTCAAAGCTTATAGGCTATGGTGCCTAGAGCCAGGTCACAGGAGGTGTATCACCAGTCGAGATGTAGTTTTCAACGAAGCAGAGATGGCTTTCAAGAAAACTGATGATGCTGACGAAGAGCTGGAACAGGGAGAGATTCCTGTTGAGGTGGAGCATGTTGATGCTGAATTGCTTACCCCAGATGAAGTCGAAGAAGACACAGAAGATGTTGTCGAAGATGAGGAGACTGATAATGACTACCTGCTAGCAAGAGACAGGTCGAGGAGAGTCATCAAGCCACCTCAGAGACTTGGGTATGCAGATCTTATAGCTTATGCCTTAATCTCTGCAAGTGAGGTTCTAGACGAAGAACCTAGAGACTATAAGGAAGTTATGAGGAATCAAAAGAAGACAAATTGGTCTTTGATGTATGTTATGGTCTGTACTAGACCTGACATAGCATATGCAGTAAGTCTTGTAAGCAGGTACATGGTGAATCCTGGAAAGGCTCACTGGCAAGCATTGAAGTGGATTTTAAGGTACATAAATGGGTCTCTGAATAGAGTCCTAATTTATGGTGGAGCCTTGGGTGAAGATAGTAAAGCAGTAATCGAAGGATATGTCGACTCTGATTATGCAGGTTGTATGGATTCTAGAAAATCTATCTTCGGATATGTGTTCACTATGTTTGGGACAACAATCAGTTGGAAAGCAACACTTCAGAAGGTCGTTGCCTTATCAACCACTGAAGCGGAGTATATTGCTCTAACTGAAGCTGTGAAGGAAGCATTGTGGCTTGAAGGTTTTGCAAAGGAGCTAAAACTTCAAGGTCGAGTTATCACTGTTAAATGTGATAGTCAAAGTGCAATACACCTGTCGAAGAATTCAGCCTATCATGAGCGAACCAAGCACATTGATGTGAGGCTGCATTTCATCAGAGGGGTAATCGAGCGTGGAGAAGTCCAAGTGCTGAAAGTTTCGACAAATCATAATGCTGCTGATATGATCACCAAGACATTGCCCAGTTGCAAGTTTTTCCACTGTATGCAGTTAATAAATCTGCATGAAGAAAGCTAGTTTCTTGATGTTATAGAGTTAGATCCAAGGTGGAGATTTGTGAGACATTGGATCGAACTCTAGTGTGGTCGAAGTCTGTTCGCAAGTAATGCGTGTTGTAGTCGAAGTTTGTTCTAACATGCATGAGTAAATATTGCTAAGGTTGTTAGCATGAGTAAATATTGCTAAGGTTGTTAGCATGAGTAAATATTGCTAAGGTTGTTAGCATGAGTAAATATTGCTAGGGTTGTTAGCATGTGCTATTTTATTATAAATAGGATGCTAGTTTCTCAATCTTGGCATAAGGAAAAATAGGAAGATAAAATCCTAATTTCAAGGGAGAGAGGTTATTTTGTTATTCTTGTATACTTGTAATCTTGTTCTAAGAGAAAGGAAAGAATAGCAGTTTAATAACAAATTCTTGTTGTTCCTTGTTGTTTTACCTTGTTTTCTTTGTTAACCCTAACCCTTGTGAGTTTCTTGATCATTAAGAAACCGTTTATACTTTGTTTAAAGGTATCCGATTCACAACACCAAGTTCTAGCCACAACAAAAGTGGATAAAAGAAAACAAATGGATCAAAAAACTGATTATATAATCTGATTATAAAGCACTAGTAAACTTATACATGTTTCATACAGTATCAAGCCTTATTTTACGTTAAGAAATAACCCATCCTAAGTTTCTGAATATAAAACAAACGTGACTATGATTATCAATATTTTTCTCTAAATGAAATATCATAAATTAGAAGTTAATAAACTTTTTCTCTCTTAAACTTTCTACTGTCTCTCTGAGGCTCACTTCTAAGGGAATAAATTCAACTCCCAATTTCTTTGCCTTTTCTTTGGAAACATGAAATGTTTGCATCAAAGGCTTTTCATCTGCACACCTGAGAACACAGATTGTTTACAAAGTTAAAATATTATTAAAAAATTAGAAGAAAAAACATTTTCATATAAATATATCATAGCATTGAATTGAATAATAAAACTTACTTGTTCGGAATTTGCAATGTTGGATACATATCACGTAAAATCTTAGTAAGTTCAGAGAAATGTATCACTCTTTCAACCAAACAATATCTTCCGCTAGCAGAAGAATCCTCATATGCCAGAATATGCGCATTTGCAACATCCTTCACACTAATCCATCCAAAAGCAGCGTTTATAAATGTTTTTGAACCTGCATAACGCAATTAAATCAACGAGTTTACTCTAAAAGCAAATTTTTGAAAGGAAAAAACACTGTCCAGAAAATAAAAGTTACTACCATTTATTAAGTCAAAAATGAAAGCAGAACTTTGGTTAAGCTCAGGTTGCAAGAGAGGACCAATCGTCACGGAAGGATTCATAACAACATAGTCAATATTGTTTTCTGTTAGAAATTTTGTTGCAGCTTCTTCTGCTGAAGTCTTTGCATATGAATACCACATCTGAAATAAACTCAAGAAATTCACATTTACATTGCCGTTATTATGGTAAAAACAATAACTACATCAAGTTATATATACAATATAGTACCTTTTCTTCGCGTAAGAAATCTGCATTTGAAAACCATGTCTCATCAACTTCAACTTCTGGCGTTCGAGGTCTTCCGTTATACGCAACAGAAGCAAAAGAGGAAGTTAAAACAACTCGTTTCAGAGATGGTGATTTCGCACATGAATTCAAAACATTCATACTTCCCTTCACTGCAGGATCAACTAATTCTGTCTGAAATAAAATAAACAAAAAACACAAACGTTCAAAAGTGAGTAAGCAAGGTTCATCTGTAATGATGGTTAATGAAGGTGACTTCACCTGAGGGTCGTTGTCGAGAACCAAATGAACCGGCGAAGCAGTATGAAAGACACCATGACAGCCGTGAATAACCGAGTCAAAAGAACCTTCTTCTAAAAGATCCGCCTTAAAGAGTTGCAACCTTTCCTTTGCACCATCGAGTTTAAGCAAGTGATCAACCTTATTTGGATTACTGATATCACGAACAGTGGCTCTAACAGTGTAACCACGTTGGAGAAGAAACTTAACAATCCATGAAGCAATGTAACCTGAAGCACCTGTCACACAAACCACTTTTCCATCACTGATATTCATCATCCTCTGAATTTCTTCTATCTTTTGTAACATTAGATAGATAGAAAAGACCACATATACTTAAGGGAAAAAATATTGGTTGAATGAGTCATAAAATTCATCTTTTTCTAGAGATTGAATATGTATCCCAAAACAAGAGAATGCGATTATAGAATGGGAAGTGACATGTATAACTCAAAGCTTGTTTGATTTAGTTTTTTTAGGAACGATTTTTTGTTTTAAAATAAGTTTGAAACTAGTTTGATTGTAGCATTTTACAAACATGTTTCCTTTTTCAGTTTTCGCTTTTGTATTTGAAATTGTGAATTGAAAACACTGAAAATATATCTTTTATGGCAGAAGCCTAAAAGTATAGAACTCTACTATATTTTCTTAAAACACGTGAATTTAACGAACATAAGCTTACAACAATTTTTGTTATTTCTAAATCGTTTTTGGTTAATGTCTCATATTGTTGTATGTTTCTTGGAACTGGTAAAATTATCATCAAACATTCACCATTGTAAAATTAAAATAACATTAAAACAAATTAAAAACAATAAAGTCCTTACAACAAAATAGAATTTTAATATCAGAAAAATTAGTGATTGATTGAAGGTGAGAAAAATATACGAAAAAAAGGATTGAATTGTCTTTTCTGTTTCTTAACTTTGCCTCGGATCAGAGTTTAAAATTTAAACAAGTGTTTAGATTCTAATTGTACGTTGCAGCAGAATGTTAACAAAAAAAAATAAAAGATAAAGAACCCACAAAAATATATACTTGTTCCTCTCAAAAGAGAGTAGTTCAGTCCCTTTGAATCACAAGAGATTTTCAATATAACCAAAAAATATTTACAATCGTTTATACACTTAAGCATAAGACTTTTCTTTGCTCAGATCCTCAACCCGAGACTTCCCGTTTAAACCCCTTAGGTTCCACAAATCCAAGACTTCCTTGCTTAAACCCCTCAGACTCAACACTTCAGCTCAGACCCTCAGTTCAAGACTTTCCAACTTAGTTTCCATAAATCCAAGAGTTTTGCTCAAGCCCCTCAGACCCAAGACTTTCTTGCTTAAGTTCTACGAACTCAAGACTTTGTTGCTCAGGTTCCACAAATCCAAGACTTCTACCCAAACTCCTCAAACCCAAGACTTTCTACTTAAACTCACAGTCTAAGACTTTATGCTCAATCAGCAACTGATCAAGACTTTCAATGCATTAACACATAGCAGGAGACTTACTTGGCTCAACCTTTTCAGCAAGAGACTTTGATGCTCAAGCACATAGCAAGAGACTTTATCTGAACTACTAAATAATCATGTTTAGCAGAATAGAAAACAATGTGTACTTGATACAAAATTAAAGGTACAGGGTAATCACCTTAATAAAAATCTTTAAGCACTTAAGATTTCTAAGATATTCAATGTTTAAGAAATATTAAGTCTTATTACAATTTACAACAAATATAGAAAATCTGCATACTCGATTGTGTTTCTTATTGTATGATCTTACTATTTCTACATCCAGACAAAAGTGTAGAACACTTATATCCTTCTCGACTTTCCTTCTATATTTTCCCTTTTGATTGCTCCCTTGTTGAAGAATTCAGTTTGAACCTTCAGTAGCTTATATAGCAGTTGTAGAAGACTAGCCGTTAGAAGAGATAACTTGAACAAATGTCTTTGTTTCTCCACAGTACAAGGAACGTTGAAGAAAGATACACAAAAAGATCTTAATCCATTGTGTAACATGTTTCACCATTGTGTTTTCCATGTAATCTTGTACTATAGAGACGTCGAGAGCAGATATCTATAAAGCTTGTCAACTCTTCTTGAGCCTTGTGAAAAATAGACTATAGTTGACAAGCTGATTTGACAATGCAGCTTTCTTTCTGCAGTATGGATAACCCAAGCTTTATTATTAATTCTGAATATTCACCAGAAGCTAATACATTAACTTAGTGTAGAGAAAATATGTTTCACTTTTGATACTGAGGTCTTCAGTTTTAGAGTCTACGCCATACATCACTTAGAGAGTGTTCTTCAGATTCTGATACACCAGAAGCTAGTAACTCAACTCCTCTCAAATGCGTCCTTATATTAGATTCTGAATGCCTTCTTTTCAAGCCTTAGAACCTGCATACTTGGAACACACATTAGATAACACAACAACTTTTCTTTTAATACTTTATTATCATCAAAATCCAAGAGATATATGTCATGAACAAATCTTTTTCTAACAATCTCCCCCTTTTTGCTGATGACAAACATAAGTATTTAAAGGACAATGTTGGACAATTATAATTTTCTTGGGCAGTTATAATTTTCTTGGCGACATTAGATTATGAGGTTTGTAAGCTCCCCCTGAGTTTAATAGTCCAAGATTGAGTTCTGGAAACTCCCCCTGAGTACCATATTAAAAAAAATATTAATTCTCCAAGCAACATCAGAGTGTGAGGTTTGTAAGCTCCTTCTAAGTCTAATAATCCAAGATTGAGGTTTGTAAGCTCCCCCTTAGTTCTATATACAAGAAAATTAAAATATATCACCTAGATAAGATCACCAAAACAAAAAAAATAGCTAATATAAAAGAAAATAACATAAATTTAAAATTACATTAATTATAAATGAACAACATTAATTATTGACCTCACCAAAAAGATATCAGTGAGGTCAATAAAGCTGACTATCACTAAAAGGATGATAATTAACTCAACATCTTCAACGATCACCATCACCAAAAGGATGAAGGTTAAATCAAAATGACAAAGATCGCCATCACTAAAAGGATGAGGGTTGGATCACAACACAACTTATTATCACCAAAGGATGATAATAAATACACATAGGGATTTCTGACACCTAAAGGATGACAGATCGATCATCAAAAGAATGAAGGTTAAATCAGAATGACAAAGATTTCCATTACCAAAAGGATGAGCGTTGGATCATAACACAACTAGACATCACCAAAAGGATGATAGTAAATAAACATAAGGATCTCCGACACCAAAGCGATGACAGATCTATCACCAAAAGGATAATGGTAGACACACATAACTAACTATTACCAAAAGGATGATAGTAGACACAAACAACTCGTTATCACCAAAAGGATGACAGTAAGCACACACTCAATGACCTTCATCACCAAAAGGATGAGGGTAAGATCAAAACATAACTTGCTATTACCTAAAGGATAATAGTAAGCACATACAAATTTTTGACACCAAAAGGATGACAGATCTATCACTAAAAGGATGATAGTGAATACACACACACACACATACACACACAGGTTTCCGACACCAAAAGGATGACGGATCTATCACCAAAAGGATGATAGAGAATACACAAAGAGATTTCTGACACTAAAAGAACGACAGATCTATCACCAAAATGATGATAGAGAACATACACGCTTTGTTATTACCAAAATGATAACATTATACACGAAGATTTCCGACACCAAAAGGATGACAGGTCTATCACCAATAGGATGATAGTAAATACACACGAGTTTCTATCACCAAAAGGATGATAGGAAGCATACATAGATTTTCGACACCAAAAGGATGACAGGTTTATCACCAAAGGGATGATAATAGACACACACACACACAAGGATTTTCGACACCAAAAAGATGACAGATCTATCACCAAAAAGATGATAGAGAACACACACGACTTGCTATTACCAAAAGGATAATAGTAAAAACACACAAATTTACGACACCAAAAGGATAACAGATCTATCACCAAGAGGATGATAGTAAGAACACATACAAATCGCCATCATCAAAAGGATGAGGGTAGTATAAAAAAAACTTGATATTACCAAAAGGATGAGGGTAGTATAAAAAAACCTAGATATTTCAGAGGTTGTTACCACCAAAAGGATGATACATAGACCAAAGATCCAAGGATCGTCGGCACCAAAAGGATGACAGATCTATCATCAAAAGGATGATAGTAAGACTATTGATAAAAGGTCAAAAGAGCCAACTTGCTGGAGGAATATCAGTAAGACTTGTTTGGGGATATCAACAAAATGTTGAAGCAAAGAAGTTACTGAGGAACACCACTCTTATCAATAAAAGATTGAAAATAACCAACTCACTGGGAACGCCCAAGAGAAAGGTAGGAATTTATTCAAAGAAAAACCACTTCGAGTGGAAACACGATGCAAATGTTGACGCATTGAGATGCATGTATTGGGGATGTATATAATTTTAGTTTGTGTATGCATATGATGCATGCCATGTATATGATGCATATGATGTATTTTTGAATGCAGATAGGTGATTGGATAAATTTCCTGAAGGAGCCAGCAAGGTGCACATTTATTTTGGAAGTTGCCAATGCTGATTGGACTTTGGGTTGGTGGAAGGTTTGATTTCCTTGACACTCAGTCTTTGAAAGTTCCTATGGTCAAAGGAAGATGAAGATGTTCTGAGTGCCCCAAGTTTGATCACTTATTGATAAGTCGTATGTTCGTTTCTGAGAGAACCATAACTTGTATGTCTTGAAGGTCAGGATGACCTGAAAATGAGCGTAGCGAGGTAATCAACGCATGAAGATTTTGCCTTTTCTCTAAACTCAATGGTTTCTAGTGTCTGGCAAGATATGCTTGTCCAGTTTGAAGATACAAAGAGGACCTGCTCCTTTTTGCAACTGGTTTTGCCCCAGTCTGGACATGGTAGTAGTCTGCCCCTGATTAACTAATTCTTGAAATGGTCTAATCTTTGGAAGCTAAATCTTGATGTGCTCATGAGATGAATTCCTCCTGATTAAGCTTTTGATGGATTTTCCCTAGATTCATAGGGTTTTGAGGTAGTCTTGATTCGGGTTAAAACCAATTAAATTTCAAGTTCCTCCTTGATTGCCCCTTGTTGGAGTTTTCTTGATGTCAAGCACTGAGTTGCAATTAAAATTATTCATTCAGAAATGGTAATTTTAATGCGATGGTCATGCAAGTTTTGAAAAATTCATTTATTGGAATGACATGATAGTGTGACGAAT